GAAGGAAATTCTGCCATTTGCCACAACATGGATGGATCTGGAGAACATTATGCTAAGTGCAGAAAGACAAATAATGCATGGCCTCACTTACATGTGGCATCTGAAAAAGTCAAACTCACAGGAACAGAGAGTAGAATGGTGGTTGCCAGGAGCATGGTGGGGGGAGGGAAATGAGGAGGTGATGGCCAAAGGGCACAAAGTTTCAGTTATGCAAGATAAATAAGTTCTGAGGTCTACTATATAGCATAGTGCCTACAGGTAATAATACTATATTGTATACTTAGAATTTTCTAAGAGGAGAGAGCTTATGTTAAGTGTTCTTATCAAAAAAGTAATAATAATAAAGGGGACTAGAGGAAACTTTAGGAGGTGATGAATATGTCTATGGCCTTGATGGTGGTGATGGTTTCACCAGTGAATACTTAACCCCAAACTCATCAAGTTGTATACATTAAATATGTACAGCTTTTTGTATGTCAATTATACCTCAAAAAAGTGGTTTGAAAAAAAATAATAAATTGCTGTTTCACCATTGCCCCAGCCCATTTTCTAAATTTTATAACATAAAATACATGCTACAATTCAAAATTATGCATGTATGTGTATACATGTGTGTTTACATCATGCTAAGATTTCTTTTATTTTCCTAATATAAAATAACACAACCATAAAAACTGAAAAACTACTTTGAAATTTAGGTTAGCTTGTATTCCTGGGTCATTTATATGATCGAACACTTCACATTGTCATGGTTTTTATTTTCACTCTAGTCTTTTTAGGAATATTAGTAGCATATCCACTTTTTAAGAGAAAGAATGAATTCAACTTTGCCTGAATATATTTTGTCTTATCTGTTTTTTTGCAACTCCATGTAAACACATTTTCCCTCTAGCTATCATCACTAAGGACAGTAGTCATTGTACCAGAGTCTGAGTCATTGTCTTCTATAAGGCTCACAATTTCCAAAACATTTTCAGGAGTCACATGAACTCCCTCACCAGCATCCAGCATGTTACAAAATACACTCTAAGCCCCTTTTAGCCATGACCTACTTTTTCCGGGCAAACTCAGACCCAGAGGCTGTTCAACCAAATCTACTTTCTCTTTCTGATGAGCAAGGAGGTGGCTATAGGCAGAAAAAAAAAAACAAAAACAACGAAAGAAAATTTCTGCCTGACTGGCCTCCTCTGGGGGGTCCATATGGCTTCTGATTCTCTGGAAGGGTATTAAGTTGCTCTGAGGGAGATGCTGTACTGCTAAACTGTTGAACCATTTCTCCACGTAAAGATCTCTGCCCAGCTTCTGCAGAATCACTGAAATGGTGATGCCCTTCTCCATTTCCAACCCTGACATACTGGAAGTTGCCAAGCACAAGTAACTACAGTGACTACTGTGACTACTGGGGACAAGTCTTGATTTTTTTTTTAAAGGCTTTTGAGTTAGAAAAGTCTCTTGACTGTGATCAAAACTGCTGCTTATTTTTGCAGGGCTTAACATGCTTGTTTGAGAAGTTCTCTTATCTTTTGGGCTCTCCACTCAAAATTCATCTTCCAAGCTACATGGTTTTCAATTCCAACACAGATGGACTGGATGACAAAGGAGGCTCTATGTGATGAGGACAGCTGTTTATTTCAGAGATGGCAAGTTCTAATACAAAGCTGACAACGATTTCCTTGTGTGCCTTTCTCTGCTTTTAGAATCTGCTAGGATCCCATCATCAAAACAGTATGAAGCAGTTTTAAGATCTTCATTGCAATTATCTCAGAAATACTGGCTACCTGGTGTTCACTGCTGCCTTCTTGACAAGCAAACATATATAAATACTTACACAGCTCTTTTGGCCTTGTCTTGGTGTTACATTTCTTGAGAGAAACAGGGTTTCTGCAAAACCTTTTGTAAGTTAAATCTGACAATAGTCTTGACTAAGACTTTTTAAATTTGCTTTCCTCTTCTTTCCTTTCTTGTCAGTAATGGACAAAAATAAAGATGAAACAGAAGAAGCTTGATCTTGATAAATATCATCTTTAGTAGCTCTGATTTTGCCTAGATCCTTTTTATCATATTTAGAATGTTTGCTTTTAGGAGTTTTATTTTTATAAGACAAGGCATTGGAAATGTTTGAGATATTTTTTCAAAACATTCAGGTTTTCTGAATACAGTATCATGTCTTCATTTTTCTTATACAGCTGAGGCATATTTTGGTGATCCATGTGATTTTCTAGCTTTATCTTTTCTTTGATGATGGCTTTTTCTTAATTTTCCTTTATAGCCATCAGAGTTTTCAAACTGGTGCTTATCTGGCTGCAACTAATCATACTTAAAATACTTAAAATAAGACAGACAACAGTAAGCTCAATTAATCCATATAGTAAAGATGTAAGTGGTGACTGCATACACACAATAGTCCTACACTAAATGTTATCTATGGCAATACCTTAAGGAGTTTAGTTGGGGGAGGGGAGATATAGGTCCTTAGATAAAAATCAAGTCATTGTATGAGCAAATCCATAATAGGTGGTCAGACTGAAGATAATTATATCTAAAAGTAAATCTGTACTATCTTTTAGTAATATTACACATAGTACAATAACTTGATTGAAACACAAGTAGTATTGGATAGGTCTAGCAACACTGAAAGATGATTCAGCTCTAACTCCTGGTGACTTGATGTACTTTAGTTAGAAATGGTTACTTTATTAAGCATGTGCTCCCCAAAGTACAGACTGTGATTTGATTTTTAAGCAGAAAGAAAATGTTTCTGTTACCAATGTGCCACTTTAGTGAATTTTAAAGCAGAGAATGTTTCTGTTTGATAAAGTGTATCATCACATCAAAGTAGTAGCCAATGTTTGAGTAGAGAAGCAGAGAATCAATGATGGAACTTCATCTGGGGACCATGTGTCTAGAAGGAAAACCATTTTAAAACTACAGGCACAAGTCACCAAAAATTAAAGTTGCCAATTTACAATAACAGCTGCATCCATCTAATAACATATCATAAAACCAACAAAGCCATGTTTTGCTAATAAGGTACAAGTAAATATCTACATAAACTTTCCTCTAAGAGCTTCATACTATCCATGATAGCAATTTTTTTTTTTTTTTTTTTCACTTTGTTGCCCAGGCTAGAGTGAGTGCCGTGGCGTCAGCCTAGCTCACAGCAACCTCAATCTCCTGGGCTCAAGCAATCCTTCTGCCTCAGCCTCCCGAGTAGCTGGGACTACAGGCATGCGCCACCACGCCCGGCTAATTTTATATATATATTAGTTGGCCAATTAATTTCTTTCTATTTATAGTAGAGACGGGGTCTTGCTCTTGCTCAGGCTGGTTTCGAACTCCTGACCTCGAACAATCCGCCCGCCTCAGCCTCCCAGAGAGCTAGGATTACAGGCGTGAGCCACCACGCCCGGCTCCATGATAGCAATTTACATTTGTATAGTGTGTTTCTGTTTTCAAAATGCTTTCACATTCCATACCAATAAATGAAAAAGGATGTTATGCAGTGTGCCAGATGCAGATGTAATATAAGTTGAGAGAGGAAAATGTCTGGACCCTTAGACAGTGGTTGCAGTCAGGATAGCTCTCACTTTGGCACATTGTACTATGAGAAAATAAACCCCAAACTATGAAGCTAGGCTCCAATCAAAACAAAATCAAATAAGTCTGATAAAACTAATTAAAAGACAAGAGCAGCACATTGGGTATTTGAATCATTCTTGTAACCCCTGACCTACCCAGTAATAGGGAAGGAGTAAAAATAGAACATAAGTCTGGATTCCACTGGTTAATTTAAACTGCTTATCATTTCATCTTTAAATCTGCCACTCCAACTCATCAGGATTGGCAACAGATAAATAGAGTGTGATTTACAGAAAGAATCTAGTAGGAAGGAGAGAAAGAAAAGCTATGCACCAATATGCTAAGCCACATGGAACCTTTCCACACAAGGGTACACCTAGCCTTCCTTTAGGAGTCCCTCCTTTCTTATGCCCTTTCTCACTTGTCTATTATCTTCCTATTTTCTCTATTCCTCCTACTCCAACCCCAACCATTCACACTACCCACTCCCAGGCCTTGAGAATAGGGAATAATCTTCCGTGTCAGTTGGTTGAGGTCAGATACTCTTAACCAGAATTTAACACATAGAATCAGATGTCTGGAAGTGACCTTAGAAGTCTTTTTCCCCCTTATTTTTCACTCTCTGCATCAATTATCCTTTAATATCCCTATACATAGAGTCCAGACTCTGCATAAACACTTTCCCTGATTGTAAATCAAGGCCTCCTGGGGCAGCCCATTCCATTTCTGGGTTGTTCTAATCATTAAAAGTTCTCAGTCATGCCAGCCAAAATTAGCCCCCTACAGTTTCTCCTCACTCGAGAAATATAAAACAAGTCCTTCTCCTGGCAGCCTTTCACTTTGTTTGAAGGCAGCTGTCACCTCCCCATGGAGTACTGTGTCCCTGCTGTTTAACTATGCCCCACTGCTCCTCATATGACATGGTTTGTGGGTCCCTAACCATCTTGGTCACCCTCTCTTAAACATGCTGCCATTCAACAAAGTCCCTCTTCAAAAGTGTGACCCAGAAAAAACACAATATTGCATAAATGGCCTACATGTGAAATGAAAGCCTTTGTCTACTGTTTAAAGAACTGAAGTCACCAAGGAGCACATGAACAACAGAAGGGTTTTTGTTGTTGTTATCAGAGCTTTTGTTTCTGTTTTTCGGTATGGGGAGGAGGAGGAGAGAGGGTTTCACCATGCCTTTCATTCTGTGATTTTGGAATTACATTTTTAAAAAAAACCACACACACACAAAAGAGAATCTGCTTTGTGCAAGGCTCTCTGCTAGAGATTTTTGGAGAAACAAATGAATAAGATACAGCCCTCAAAGGGTCCACATACTACCGCCTGTCCCTTGCCCTCGTCTCCATGCGAATCACAGTCGCATGGGGCTGTTTGATAAGGTAATCTTATATTAGTCATCCATTTTAGAGTACCTGAGTGGGCAGAAAGTGCCCTCAGAAGACGAGCTTGGCCTGGCCGGGAACAGCTGCTGAGGTCTGCTCCGTGGGCCTGCAGCAGTGTTTCACAGCTAGAAGCACCCCGACTCCCAGTCACACCCGACTCTTGCACACTCTGCCCCCTCCTCCCAGTCTGAGAGCCCTCCCTGCTTATCAAACGACAGCCTCCTCCGCCCTCAGCACAGATACCCAGATACTGCATTTCTGTAACAGCATCATTCTTTCTGACCCTGAGGCTTGGGAAAGAAAAGGTGGGCTTCTCCAGTCTCCCTGCGGACTGGGAGCGCCAGAGTGTGGGGCTTGCCTCGTGTCCCGGAGCACCCAGAGCAGGTTTACAGCCACCGTTCTGTCATTAAGGACACACAAGCCGAGGCTGTTCAGGCTTTTATAGAATCGCAGAACTGAAAAATCTTGGACAGCATTCCTTCTACAAGTGACAGAATGAAGACAGCCCAGAAAACAACTGACTCGTTTGGGGTAACAGACGACCCTACTGATAGAGGATGGGCTGTCTCGATTCCCGGCTCGACGCTCCTAACGCTGAAGCACGTTTTAAAAATCTTAATACTTTCTGTGTATTTGATGAAATGGCTTGGGAGTGGATTTAGCTCTATCTATTCCACTTAATATTTTAATAAAGAAGGTTCCTAAAAATGAAACGCCCACCACACTTAGTACGGAAGATATCTCCTTTGATGCTTAAGTGTATATCAAAAAGCTGGTCTCCTTGCACATCCTCTCTGCCAGAGGACTAGGACTCGCAGGACAGAACTTGGTTTTCTTCGCTTTTCTGCTCATCCGGGCCATGCAAGGGCCTGGGCTCGCTAGCCTTGTAACAGGGGAAAGGGGAAGAACCGCAGAGGTGAGCGGACACCGGCGATCGGGCCGCGCGTGGAAGCCAGCCCTCTCCGCCTTACTCCGCCCGGCATTCCCGGGAAGAAACGAGCGCACCGGCGCCCAGGCTGCAGACCCCGCCCAGGGCGCGCCGGGACTGGAAAGAGACCTTTGCCCCGGGCCCCAAGCCGGGCCGCCCCGAGAGGCCCCGGCCACGCCCCCTCCAAGCCCCCACCCTATACCCCGCTCCTCCCCAGCCCCGCCCCCATGCCGAATTAGAAAAGAAATTAATTGGCCAACTAATATATATACAAAAAATTAGCCGGCATGGTGGTGCATGCCTGTAGTCCAGCTACTCGGGAGGCTGAGGCAGGAGGATTGCTTGAGCCCAGGAGTTTGAGGTTGCTGTGAGCTAGGCTGACGCCATGGCACTCACTCTAGCCTGGGCAACAAAGCGAGACTCTGTCTCAAGAAAAAAAAAAGAGAGAGAAGATGTGACAAGGCCCCTGACTTCATCTGAGGAGGGAGAAAGACTTCCTTTGGGGAAGTGTTGCCTGAGCAGAACTCTGGGTGTAAGTAGAAAACAACTGGGCAAAGGAGGTGTGTGAAGTGGGGAAAGTGCTGTAATAGAGAGCCTTGCAAGAAGCTGAGACAACCGGCAGAGAAGCCTACTCCTCTCAGGAACTGAAAGAATGTGGTTGAAATGCACATATCAAAAGGGACAGTGCCCAAGAGGAAGCTGGTGAGCAGGCATGAGGAGCTTTGATGGCCATGTTAACGTCTGTGGGCTTTGCCTTATGAGCTATGGGGAGTATTGAAATATTTTAAGCAAAAAGGTTACATTGTACTTTTTAAAAAAGATTATTTTAGTTACTGTTTGGGAAAGGTATTAGAGACAGGAAGAAGTAAGAAGCTATTTCATTAGTCTTTAAAATTTGTTTTTAATGTAGAGATGGGATAATTTCATTAGTCATTTTTTTTTTATTTTTTTAATTTAAAGATGGAACCTCGCTATGTTGCCCAAGCTGGAGTGCAGTGACTATTTATTTATTTATTTTTATTTATTTTAGCGTATTATGAGGGTACAAGTGTTAAGGTTACTTTTATTGCCCATGCCCCCCCCC